AAACTAAATTAATAGTAAATAATTCAATGCATTACCATAAAAAATATTTACTATTACATATATAAATGGCATTCACACTCCTTACAAGACAACGAATCAAACTATATATATATAAATATTTACTAATGTATTCGAAAAATATTTATGAGATGCATTTAAAGTTGTAACTTAATTGGTCAAATACATGTTTTCAGACCTTTTTTTTTATAAAAATATATTTACGGCACAATATGACCAACAACAAAGTTTTTTACGTTGTTGGATCCATTGATGAATTAAAAATTTTCATAAAATTATAACAAATAAAAAGAAATAAAAAAAGAAGAAAACTAATTTCCCCCTTTTTATCCTTTTTTTTTTCCCCCCAAATAATTAAAAATAAAGCTTTTTTTTTTTTTTTTTTCTGGGGGTGGGATGATTAACGCCTTTACGGAGCAAAACGCTAATCTTCCCGGGACGGAGACCAAGGCGTCATGTCCATTGGATAGCTACCCAACACCCGCAAGAATGACGTGAACTCCTGGACTTCGGCCAACGCGTTCTGTGCCCTCACCTCCGCCATCGACGCCTCGAAATCGACGTAGAACATGTACTCGAAGTGTTTCGCCGTCCCTACATTTGCGTCGTCGACTAACCGAATCGGGCGGTTCCGGTGAGGCCTCGACTCGATCTTCGTCAAGCTGATGTTCCGGAACGCGAACGCGGAGAGAACCTTGAACAGCACGCTGGTACCTTTGTCGTGCGCGAACACGATGCTCGTCTTGAACGGCCGATCCGTGCGGGGGATGATCGGGTCCCGTGCTAGCATCACGAATCTCGTCACGTTGCTGGAGTCGTCCTGGATCCCGTCTGCGAGTACTTGCATACCGTAAAGCTCGGCGGCGCGTGCGCTGGCGATGGCCGCCGTGTCGCGGAGGTCGTTGTTCGCTATGTACTCGGCCGCGCCGGCTGTGTCGTCAACGGCCTCGCGCGTGACGTTGAGGCCTAATTTGGTTATAGTCTGCTCGCACTGCGCGAGAGCCTGTGGATGCGAAATGACTCTGGTGAGATACTCCTTGCGCACTCCAGGGAGGGCTAAAAGGCAGTGGTGAACTGGGAGCTGCACTTCGCCGACGATGTGGAGGCGGTGACGGAGCAAGAGGTCGTAGTTCCTGTGAATCGATCCACCAAGAGAGTTCTCGACGGGTAACACTGCACGATCCGCGATCCAGAGTTCAACAGCCTGAAACGCGACTTCAAACTGGTCGCAGGGGATGGCCTCACAGTTAGGATATGCTTTCCCTGCAGCAGCTTCGGAGTATGCGCCAGGAACGCCCTGGTAGGCGACGCGGAGCTGGGAGCCGTGCATAGGCGCTGGGGAGAGGTCGGTGATGGTAAGGGGTTTCTGCGGCGGCGTCGTAGAGGGAGGCTGCGGCTTCTTGTTCTTGTCAATGGGGACGAGATTGAGGTCAATGGGACTCTTATGCCCGTTGACGGCTGCAGCGTTGGATTTGTCGGCAGATGTTTGATCTACGGCGGAAACCTTGCTGGAAAGGATAGCACAGGAGCTTTGCCAGTCTGCACGGTTGGGGCCGACTCCATTCGGGAAGTGGACCGAGTCAGAGCGGTATACAGAGCGGACGGCGAATCGGGTCGACCGCGCCAGCCGCGGCCCAGATGGCCGAAGTAAAGACTGGAAATCCTTTGGAGGGTAGATTGCCTGCATATCTGTAAGTATCTATCTACTCCCGAATTGATTCGATTTAGAATATCAGAATCAGAAAACAAAAACTAAAAAACAAAACAAGAAAGAGGGATAGGGGGGAGAGGGGATGGCACCTCTGTTTGGGTAATTTTCAGCTTGGTGTTCTCTTAGAAGGGAACGTCAAGCTGAGAGAAAAGAAAGGGGAGAGGGGCGGTTTTATATTAAAGGGAGAGGAAATGATGGTGGGGGAAGGAGCTGGGAAGAGTCTTGGAGAGGATGGTGTGCGTGCGGAGGTGGTTCGGTCAATCTCACACCTACCCCCATTTGTTATTATTATTATTATTTTTTTCATAAAAAAAATTAAATTCTTTTAATACAAGTTCACGTATAATCATATTAACATAGTCACTTTTTATATGTTAGGCTGATTAAATTATTTGAAATTTAGGTTTTTTTTAGCAAAAATGTTATAATTACAATTACAATGTTATTATAAATTTATAATATGATGTATTACTATATAATTGTCTAAGTATCGGCATATGGTATGCATCAACCCATGTAATACCACTTCATAATTGTAAGTTTACAATCTTATTTGACATTATAATTATAGTATTTTTGTTTTTTTTAATTGTTTCCTGCTGTGTTATTTTTTTAATTTATTTTAAATAATTTTTCCTTTGGAATTGTGTTATTATTATTATTATCTTTTTTTTTTACATGATTTAGTCCTTAAACTGTTTTGAGCTTCCTGCCTCAGTGGGTTCAGGGTTAAATAGTCAGGTATTAAGCTTAAGCTTGTTGAAAGGAAGAACAGGGTAAAATGTAAAAAGTAGGTGGTGGAGGCTTTGACTTAAGCATGTCATTAAGCTGTTTCAATTAGTAGGCTAAAATAACTAGCTAGGTTGTTGGAGTCAACTCTCCTTGTAAAAAAATACGAGTAATGGTATATAGTGATATGTAATGGGGGTATATCCTTATCCCAATAGATTTTGAGAGCGCTTTCTCATGAGCAATTTATCATTACTCTCTTTTATGAGGAAAGTTAATTCCAATAGCTTAAGTGGTTATTCACCAATTGAAGCAGTTTAATGATTTGCTTATATCAAATTTTTTGGTCATTGACAGGGCTTTTTAACTCCTAAGGTGTAGGGATATACTCTTATCCCAATTGACTCCTAGAGCTCTGCCTCACCAGAAATTTATCATTACTCTTTTTTACGAGAAGAGTTGATTCTAATAGCCTGGATAATTGTTTCAGTCTACCAACTGAAATAGTTTAATGACATACTTAGGTCAAATGCCACTAGTCCACCACCCATCCTACCTTTCACATTTTATTTCATGAAAGGTTCAAATTCAGGCTTCAGCCTTGCATTTTAACAAGGCTGATCCTTAGTACCTCAGTAGGCTTAAGCTCGATCTAGGATAAGCCTGGCTATTCAATCCCTAGATCCATTGATGTGGGAGATGTGAAGTAGTTTAAGAACATGCTGAGGTCCAATGCCACCACCCATCTTTCGTTTCACATTTTACCCCGTGAAAGGTACAAATTCAGGGTTCAAGCCATCATTACAATGAGGCTGACCCATAGTCCTTCCGCAGGCATAAACTCAATCTGGGTAAGCCTGGCTATGCATCCCTCAGATTCACTAACTCAGGAAACACAAAGAAATTTACGGACATGCTTAGGTAGGGGATTTTTTTATAAGGGAGAAGAAATAATGAAAGGATGAAAGAGCTGGAAAAAGTCTGAGAGGATGGTGTGTGCGCTGAGGTGGTTCGGTCAATCTCACACCTACCCCCTTATGGTATATTATTATATAGTATTAATTAAATTGTTTAGTACTCTTCATAAAAGAATCAAATGATTTAATACAAATTCACATATAATTATATTAATATACAGTCACTCTTTATATGGTTGGCTGAGTAAATTAATTCAAACTAAGGGTTTTTTTAAATGTTTTCTTATGTGTTTGGTTAGAACAAGGTGTTTTGAGTTCATGATTTCAGATAATTTTTTTTATTTGGAATTGTGTTAATTTAAGTCCCTTTACAGTTTACACTAACGTTGACTTACATGTGGCATAGCTGGAGAAAAAAATTGCAAGATATGGTTCCCTTTTTACAGTTCGAACTGTTAAAGAGGACTTTTGGATGAAAAGAGTCCTCAATATCATAAGGTCAACCTTTATTTAAGAGTTAATTTAGTGCAATTTAGAACAAGTAAGAAACGACACAACAGAAATATAGAGGTAGGTGTTTTTTATTTATTTTTATTTTTATTTTTATTTTTTGTAATGGTTCATCACCACAGACATGCATTTTATTGCTTCTTTTATGGGAAAATTTCTAACTTTACTGATTTTATGCTCTTTCCTCTAAAAAACACTTTCTAATATTGCTTAGTGCTAGTGCCCGTAATTTATTAATGCTGTTGTTTTTGGTTGTTGAGTGACCCTACCAGTTGTATGCAGATTGGGATAATCTTGTTTTTATTTTTTAATATTTGACACCTGATATTATGTTAAACAGCTTTGATAAAATTGTTCATAAATGATTAATGGGAATGTAGTATTATATGTTCCAGAAAGAATTTTGATTCCTCAAGATTATAACAGTAGGCCTGTCCAGTAAAATCCAATTCAGTTAAGGTCCATTATTAATAGATTATCACTGAATTTTTTTTTTTTTAAATGAAGATTACTGCAATTGTTTATTTAGTATTTGCTTTGTGGAAAGAATAAAGAAGGAAAGAATTCAATAATACTTTCAAGATAATTTCTTATGTTGTTTGTTGTGGACTACCATGTTCTCTTCTTGCAGAATCAAAAAGAAGAGGAGAGCCTGGAAAGCGCCAGCTTTTGCCATCAGTTTGGGTTCTTTTTCCGATGGCTCCTTGAATAGATACAACCACCCAACTCAGGGACCAGTTTTCTGAGGTTCACCACCCACCAGTAAAGGTTGCCAGCCCAAGTGAGAGGTAAGTGCCCCCTTTATGTTATTGTTAGACTCCTTTTCCTTCCCCTACACATTTTGTCTGTGTGTGTTTAATCTAAAAGTTTCTTTTTTAACATCAAGCCTTAATGAAAAGATAAAGGAAATAAAAGATGGGGAAGTGAGAAAAAAAACAAAGGTAGTAAGTATAGAAAAATGGGGTTGTTGCCAAATTCAAAAGGTCATTGTCGGCTTGGTATAAAAATTCTTATTGCCTAATTTCACTAACATTATCCTTTCCTTGTATCATACTGCCTCTAGTCTGATTTAATTGTTTATTTTTTTATTTTAATTAAGGGTAGTACTATAGAGATAACTTTTTTATCTCTCCTTTTGATACAATTTCCTCATGTTATTAAATGAGTGGATGTATTCAATATCACAGGTATCATGTGAATAAAAAGAACTAATTATTTAAATAATACATCAAGTTGTATCAAAAAGTGATACAAAAAAGTTGTCTTAAAATAATTTTCTTTTAATTAAATACTAATATATCAATTTTTACCCTTATTTCATAATCATGAATGGATAAAATAGAACAAGGTGTAGTAATTTAAGAATTGTATTTATAATAAATGTACCGTTCAAACTTCAGATTACAAACTTCAGATACAGGTCTCAATTATATGTATTAGTAAATAAGGAAAGGAATAATATGGATTGGTAATTAAGCAAAAACAGAGAAATAGAAACCGACGAAGGGAAGGTACGTAGCACAGCCCTCTTGGAAGATTAGGTTCATTAAAAGGTGATTTCTAATCAAAATCTCTACTATTCCTTCTCAACCAATATTAGACTAAAAATTACTCCTCGTGAAAATCATAGCTTTATTTGACAATGACAGAGATATTATTAGCAACATTACCCACTAATTAGATTCGCTAATTAGGCCTAAATGTGAATTGGGTTTCCTCCCAAGTTTTTTGGTATTAATCTACCGAATACTAAACTGTGGATACAATTCAGAACACGGTTTTGGTATCCCACCAAAGATTTTGAATTTTATGAATTTGTTCCTCATCGCTTTCAATCTCCATCGTTGATGGGTGGCTGTTTTGTGGAAGAAGATAATTGTAACATGTGGAGAGAAGTGAGTCTAACAATTTGATATATCTCTCTCTCGTAGAGATGAAGAAGGGAAAGAAGTGAGAAATTAAGAGGCGAAAGAAAGATGATGGAAGAGATGAGGGGTGGGGCTGTTGTGTTGTTGGGTTGGTGGCGATGGAAGATCAAAGCACTTCTTAGTTCTTACAGCCACTAGAGATTGCTTGACGTCCGTCATCCACTGTGGAGACGAAACAGGATGTCAATTTTGATATCCTACTCACGTCCACTAATGTAACTTGTATTGTCAGTAAAATAGAGAAGGAAATTGTACTAAGACATTCTTTTGCCTCCTTGGTGTTGTTGTTATGATTAAATGTTAATTTTAGATCCTATATTTTTTATTTTTAACATATTTAGTTCTTTAATTATTTTTTGTACTTTTTTTATCTTTAAATTATGAAAAATATACTTTTTTTTAATGATTTATGTCATTTAGTTAATTAAATTTGTTTAAATATATGCATTTTTAATCCTTAACTATCAGTTTATAGATTAAAAGATATATATAGATAGATTTAATAAATTAACAAAAGATAAATTTTTTTTTATCATTTATAAAATAAAAAAGGTTAAAAACTAAAAACATTTAAAATTTAAAATTTAAAACTAAAAATTAACATTGAACCTGCATTATTTTTTACTTTTACAGTGACCTAACTTTTCTCAAGGCTTTATCCAAAAAAACAAAAACTTTTCTCAAGGCAATAATTATTTATGTTCTTACATAAAACTATTCCCACAACCATCTAATTTATGTAAGACAAGCATCCACTCATTTGGTGAAATCACCTAAAATCACCCAAGTAGCTATTCTTGATAGCTACTTCCTCTGAGTGGATATTTTTAATTTACCACTCTCCCTATTTTAAAATATAAGTCATTTTTTTATTGTATATAAATAATAATTAAATTTTTTTTATCAAATAAACTATTCAACAAAAATTATGTATTATAAAAGGAGAAAATCTTAATTATCATTTATATATTATAAAAAAATATTATTTAAAGTTATGTGTAATAAAATCAAACAACTTATATTATGGAATAGATGGAGTATAATTTTCTTTCAAATTCTCTTTCTTGCTCCATTGTTATTGGTAGTGGGTTTGAGTGGCTTATATATTGATGAATTAACATGTACAAATATGCATCTAATTTTTACCCTCTATGATAGGAAACATCTAGTTGTAGGTAAATTCCTGTGTAATTAGTTGAGCGGTAATTTCATCCTTTTGAAATTTGATTCATATTAGTTGGCTAATAACTTAATTTAGTCTATTGGAAATTTCATCTTTTACCAATAAACTGAGTTTGTATCAATTAATTTAATAAACTTTAATTTAGAATCAATGGTGATACCGTAGAAATTCAAACTCTTACAACATTAAGTAATTAACTTTCCGATCTTTGAAAAAAAAAATCCCGTCCTTTCAAAATGTGGATTTGAAATAATATTGAACTATATATTTAATCAGGCTCACGACTGATTTCGTCCATTTTTAGGCTGAGGTTATTACGTTGATTTTTTTTTTTCAATCTTGGTTATACAATGGGAGATAATTATCTTTCATCTCTTATTATACCCTACTCGTATATTATACGACTCAAACTCAAAATTTCTTATTTCCGTTTGGAAAGAAATGATCACTAAAATATTTAAATTATTTATGTTATTATGTTGATTTATAATCGTGAATATAATAGGTGTTTAACGTTTGATTAATTCACACGGCAGTGTAAAGGAAGTAGGTGAGAAGAAAAAATATGTGCAAAAATGTTGCCACCTAACATATATCCTCCCATTTTTCTTTCTTTAAAATTAAGAGAGTTAGAAAAATGTCTTGGCGACAAATATAACACGTTTCCGACCCCGTAAACAAAGCCTTGGCTTTGGACTTTACGTTCATAAGTTTCTCGAGTGTTCTCCATTAATTAATAAAGGTTTGTTCCATGCTCCATACATTATTATATCAAAACTATTGACGGTGTTACAAGGTTTAACTGGTGTCTCTGTGTCTTTGTATGTTTATCCTATTTTTGTAAAAAATGATTTTTAGTAATTTGGTTATAGCTATTTAGATATGGCAAAACTTAATTCAAAAAGTTAAATTTATTAGTAAATAAGTATAATTTTATAAGTTAAAGTTTAAATTTTGAAGTTAATATTTAAAGAAATTAATTTATTTTAATAAACTAAATTGATCTAGGAAATACCTCATTAAAATCATTTGAGAAATAATTAATATTAAAATATGTAAAAATTGATTTAGAAATCTTTAACAATAAAAATTATTTGTTTTGCAGCTTGAACTGTATTGAATTGCAAAATTAAGGCCTTTGAATTGGGATAGAAAGGTTCAATATCAAGAAATTCTTTCTAATTTAAAAATTATTGTTTTATAATTTAATATAATTTAAACTGTAAGATAATTTTTTATAATAATAAATAGTAAAAAAAATATAAAGCAAAATTCACGCTTTCAATCTGATTAAAAGTAATTTATCTTCAAAACTTAACAATTTCTTAAAAAAAAAAAAATCTCTCTAGCCAAATCAAATACTAACATTTAGCAGTGAGATAGAACTAACAAGGAGAGGTGGCGTACAAAGAAAAAGTAGACAATTATCAACTTCATATATTTAAGGATACAAGGTTAATGGCCTCAAGCAATCATCTCCCACCATTCAGAATCTAACTTGTTGTGAATAGGTAGCTTAACTTAGATCATTTGTCCTTCCCTTAGCTGAGCTGGCTATTAATTACTATATTTTTGTGGGGTTTTTTTTTTTTTTTTCTCATTTTTGTGTGGAGAAGTGAAGAGAAGAAATTAAAAGATTTTCTTGGTGCCAAAGAGAGTGATGGATGCGTGCATCGTTGCAGAATTTTATTATATAATAAAATTAATAAGATTGTGTTGAAAATTGAAACGAGATTCCAAGGTACCGATTCCGATGATTGTGATTTCTGGGACAGCTGCGCGGCATGCAAAGCATGTGCTTCAGTTCGGACAGGGAATATGAGTATTGTCACATTGTGCTAATCCAAGGGGACTTGCTGTTAGATGAGAATGTCTGGTAAGTACAAACACGTGTAATTTATAACATCTAATCTAAGTGCAGTCAAGGACTTAAATAATTTAATAGTAATTTTTTTTATTAAAAATAATAAATTTTAAATTTAAATCGCATAACATGTAGATGAAGTAAGATAAAAGATGGAGATGGAATGATGCTACTACTATCCTTGTTGAAAGGAACCTGACAAAAATTTGTTATTGGGGTAATAAATTTTTAAGTCAAAATTTATGAGCTTATTAAAATTAAAATTATTAATAATAATTAATTTTTATAATTTATATATTAAATTCACTAATAAGTTTTTATCGATATAAGATTTGAGGCATTATTCCTTTATTATAACTTGGGAGATAAGATTGTTGGAATTGTAGCATCATTCCCTATTGTATAACTTGCTATCATCAAATCTTGTAAAAGAAATTTTTTTCTAAAACAATATTTTTATTTTCTTTTGTCAAATATCTGAAAACAAGTTTTGTGGGTGTCAATATTAAAAAATTGAGTTTTAACTTTGCAATTAAAGAATATATTGAGACGTGGAGAGATTTTTTTTTTAAAAAAAAAACATTTAATCAGAATATTAATTAGAATATGAGACGTATAATCTCAGACCTTTTGCATATATCCTTTAGGAATAAAATTATGTTCGGAATAATTAATTATAAAATAATCCATAATAACAAACTAAGAGATGTCATGTGACATATTATTTGTTTAAAGTTGAAGATATGCATATAGAATGAGGTTTGATTGTTAAGTGAAGCAGCTGAAGCAGATAGCATGTGTTGCATGCATGTTGGCAGTTGGTTGATCAAACTTAACTGGCTTTTGT